CACTTAAATAAAACTATTGCTGACTCATTTGCCATGCTTGCATTTGTTAGACGTCACTCTTCAGAGTTCACCGATCCTTATACTATTAAAATGCTCTATACAGCGTTTGTGCGTTCAAAACTGGAATATGCCGCGTTTATTTGGAGACCGAATCATTCTGTTCATATAAATCGTTAAGAAAAGGTGCAAAAGGTATTTTTACGCTTTGCTTTGCGTTCACTAAGGTTTGCGGAACCATTGCCATCATATGTATCCCGTTGTCGGCTAATTAGTCTTCCAACTTTGCATAATAGAAGAACTTCTCAGGCTATCGCATTTTTNTTTATCTGGAGACCGAATCATTCTGTTCATATAAATCGTTTAGAAAAGGTGCAAAAGGTATTTTTACGCTTTGCTTTGCGTTCACTAAGGTTTGCGGAACCATTGCCTTCATATGTATCCCGTTGTCGGCTAATTAGCCTTCCAACTTTGCATAATAGAAGAACTTCTCAGGCTATCGCATTTTTATTGGGTATTATTTCGGGAAAAGTTGAGTGCCCGGCCCTACTTGAGTGAATNTAGCCTTCCAACTTTGCATAATAGAAGAACTTCTCAGGCTATCGCATTTTTATTGGGTATTATTTCGGGAAAAGTTGAGTGCCCGGCCCTACTTGAGTGAATCCATTTTTATGTTCCTAGCCGTAACTTGCGTCGTTTTGACGTGTTTAAGGTTGGGCTAAGTGGAACGGTTTATGGTGCAAACGCGCCAATAAACAGAACCTTATCAGACTTCAATCACTTTTCAAATTTTTTAGATATAGACTTTACCAATACCNAATTTTTAAGTAGACAATTTAGCATAATGACAGATAGTTATATTTAATATTCTGCTTAATGTCTGTTTTAACTATAGTTAGTTGTTAGACATAAATAAAAAANCAGACTTCAATCACTTTTCAAATTTTTTAGACATAGACTTTACCAATACTAGAGCAACCACATTAGAATTGGAAAGATTTCTTATGTCCAGTCATTAAGATCATGTACATTTTGTAATTTCTAATCTGTTTGAAATTCCAGATTGGGTTTTTGAATTCTTTCATATGTAAGTAATTCTTGTAAATTAAATTTTTAAGTAGACAATTTAGCATAATGACAGATAGTTATATTTAATATTCTGCTTAATGTCTGTTTTAACTATGGTTAGTTGTTAGACATAAATAAAAAAAAANAATATATGCTAAAAAAATACTTACGTACCGAATTTTAAGCAAATCGGACCGTAAATACTTTTTTTTTCGAATAGAGCAGTCCATGGTCCACTTCTCGGAAAAAATTTATCACATATGCTAATATATGCTAAAAAGCTACTTACGTACTAAATTTGAAGCAAATCGGACTATAATAAGATTTTTTCGAATAGACCGGTTTCTGGTCCACCTACCCGAAAAAAGTAAAATTTTCTAGCCTAAAACATGGTGGTTACCGAAAGCTATTTCTATACAAAATTTCATGAAAATCTGACCAGCCGTTCGCGAGATTACCTGTTACAAAAAAAGGGACTTAGTATAGATTAGTATAGATTGAATAAAAATAAAAAAGCGCATATCGAGCCCTAACCGCCAAAAAGATGTAAGCGACATTTGTTTTCAAAATTTTATTTTTGATGGAGAAATGAATCTAGATGCTAGGCTAGGTAGGTATATTTCTGTGTCAAAAAGAAAATTTTGAAAAAAAAATCGCTTACTTCCTTTTTGCGGTTAGAGCTTGATATTGTAAATATGTACATTAGGGGGGAGTAATTTGTTCGGAGCAAAATCTTCGAAGAAAGCGTATAGCAAATTCAAATTCTACGATTAATTTTAAGCAAAAATGGCGAGTGAACTATATACCAAAAATCACGTTTGACCCTACCAATTTTCAAAAGAAAATTGCATAAAGCAAANTCAAAATTTTATTTTTGATGGAGAAATGAATCTAGATGCTAGGCTAGGTATGTATATTTCTGTGTCAAAAAGAAAATTTTGAAAAAAAATTCGCTTACTTCCTTTTTGCGGTTAGAGCTTGATATTGTATTTACAAATATGTACATTAGGGGGGAGTAATTTGTTCGGAGCAAAATTTTCGAAGAAAGCGTATAGCAAATTCAAATTCTACGATTAATTTTAAGCAAAAATGGCGAGTGAACTATATACCAAAAATCATGTTTGACCCTACCAATTTTCAAAAGAAAATTCCATAAAGCAAGCACAAAATTTGGAAATGAAATTTAATTTCGTTCAAAAAAATTATTATACCCTGATTTTTNTCCACTTCTCGGAAAAAATTTATCACATATGCTAATATATGCTAAAAAGCTACTTACGTACTAAATTTGAAGCAAATCGGACTATAATAAGATTTTTTCGAATAGACCGGTTTCTGGTCCACCTACCCGAAAAAAGTAAAATTTTCTAGCCTAAAACATGGTGGTTACCGAAAGCTATTTCTATACAAAATTTCATGAAAATCTGACCAGCCGTTCGCGAGATTACCTGTTACAAAAAAAGGGACTTAGTATAGATTAGTATAGATTGAATAAAAATAAAAAAGCGCATATCGAGCCCTAACCGCCAAAAAGATGTAAGCGACATTTGTTTTCAAAATTTTATTTTTGATGGAGAAATGAATCTAGATGCTAGGCTAGGTATGTATATTTCTGTGTCAAAAAGAAAATTTTGAAAAAAAATTCGCTTACTTCCTTTTTGCGGTTAGAGCTTGATATTGTATTTACAAATATGTACATTAGGGGGGAGTAATTTGTTCGGAGCAAAATTTTCGAAGAAAGCGTATAGCAAATTCAAATTCTACGATTAATTTTAAGCAAAAATGGCGAGTGAACTATATACCAAAAATCATGTTTGACCCTACCAATTTTCAAAAGAAAATTGCATAAAGCAAGCACAAAATTTGGAAATGAAATTTAATTTCGTTCAAAAAAATTATTATACCCTGATTTTTCTTCTAAAAATTGAGAGGATCAAAGGTTATTTTGGTTAAGTAGTTTATTTAACATTTTTGCTTAGAATCGAACGTAGAATTCGAATATGTCATTCACTTTCCGAAATTAAATTACTCCGCCCTAGTGTATATCTTTCGTCATGTAGGAGGCAACATTTTTGTTTTATTTTAATAAATTGCCATCAATTCTCATTCCCTGCACTCAATAAAATGTTATTTGGTTCATTGCCTCCTTCTAAAAGTCAAAATTTTTTTGAGTCAGACTTTTTTTTTATAGAAGAATTAAGTCCTAAATGGTAACAGTTTATATTTTTTATGCGATCCCTTTAAGTGATTATCACTTAAGTGCGTATCACTTTAGAGCATAAGAGCGTATTAAACGTTTAAAATGTCTCAATAATTTAATGAACTCTACCTCATACCTTATTGAATAACTCATTTAAGTGCCTACCAGCTAAGCGCCATACTCGCTTAATTGTATCAAACTTTTAGGTTAATTTTAGGCGGATTTTTACTATTTCAAAATTTAAGAATATTACACACATTANACTCTACCTCATACCTTATTGAATAACTCATTTAAGTGCCTACCAGCTAAGCGCCATACTCGCTTAATTGTATCAAACTTTTAGGTTAATTTTAGGCGGATTTTTACTATTTCAAAATTTAAGAATATTAAAAACGCCATTATCCGCTTAATTGCACATTCTTCATTTCAAGGCGCGGCAATTAAGCGGATTTTTGTTTTTGTTAATTTCACTTCATTGTGTCTCACCAAAAAAGCCTTCTTCTTTTCACAGAACCGGTAAACTACACTATCCCACAGATGTATGCGGTCCATTGTTCGAGGAGGAACTTGAATTTTGGGGTCTAGATTCGAATCAAGTCGAACCCTGCTGTTGGTCCACCTATAGCATACATCGTGACACGCAGGTAAGCGCGAAATTGCAAATACCCCACTTGAAATAGCTATTTGAAGCGCGCTCTTATCTTTCCTAGAATACCTTAGCCATTTTAGATAAGTTAGATATTGAAAATGAGAAACCCTCTGAGGAACAAATTGCACGTCTATTCGGTTTCGAAGAAGCGCTCATCAATGGACGACTCAGCTGTTGGCAGCGCATCAAACCGAAAGTGTGGGCACTCTTTGACGAACCCTCCAGCTCAACGGGTGCTAAAGTGAGTCATCTTGGCTGAAAACTACGAAATATATATTTTTTTGAGCGCCCACAATCCTCTATTATTTTTTTTTTGTTCTACTTCACCGCAGATCGTAGCTAGTATGTCGGTTTTCTTCATATTCGTTTCTGTGATATCGTTCTGCCTGAAGACCCATCCGGGTTTTCGTGTGGATTTTCCCGCCACTCACACCGACCACGGAGCAAGTCCGTCGGCTGCACCGCATACGCCACCTGTGAACATACCGAGTATACCTCATCAACATAATATGCCACCGGTGCCGCCGAGCGCGCATATAGCCAGCACAATAACGGCGGCACCGGGTACACACAGCAGCGCTGTGGGGAGCATGGGATTGTCGAAACAGCATGGTAGCGTGGCTGGCGTCGGCGGCGACATTTCAAATGCATTGGGCAACAATCAAACGCTCGCGTTTACTTTGAAAGTGACAAACTACACGATACCGGGGAATATCAACAACACAAGTCAGCCGATAGCCACATTCTCGCTTAAAGGCGGCACCTCGAAGCGCCATCGCCTGAAACGTTCGATACTAAGCGGTAATGTAAAGGACTTGATTGAGCGTAAGTTGCTCGGCGCTGTCGATCATCATGGTCACGGTTGGCATGAGTCATACGGGCAGCCGCATGAGGCATTCTTCTACGTGGAATTGGTGTGTAATGTGTGGTTCTTCATCGAAGTGCTCATTAGGTTGATTGTAAGTGATCTGCATACATGGGAAGTGTGAGTCTGAGTCTATGATAAGCCTTGTCGGTTTTTTTTTCACAGGTTTCGCCAAATATTTGGCAATTTATCAAATCACCGGTGAATATAATCGACTTCACCGCCACGCTCAGCTTCTACACGGATGTCATGCAACGCATGGGCGAGTACACGGGTCTGCTGGAAGCCTTCTCGATAGTACGTATTATGCGTCTCTTTAAGCTGACGCGTCATTCGCCTGGACTGCGTATTCTAATACACACATTCAAAGCTTCGGCTAAGGAACTAACGCTGCTTGTGTTCTTTCTGGTGCTCGGCATTGTGTTCTTCGCCAGTTTAGCCTACTATGCGGAGAAGTTGCAGGTAAAGTTGTTTATAATTTTCTTGACTTCAAAGTTTACATTAATTCACATTCTTGCCATGTCTACTTTACTCGTTTCAGGACAATCCCGAAAATCAATTTAAAAGCATCCCGCTANTCTTCGCCAGTTTAGCCTACTATGCGGAGAAGTTGCAGGTAAAGTTGTTTGTAATTTTCTTGACTTCAAAGCTTACATTAATTCACATTCTTGCCTTGTCTACTTTACTCGTTTCAGGACAATCCCGAAAATCAATTTAAAAGCATCCCGCTCGGCCTGTGGTGGGCAATTGTCACCATGACCACTGTCGGTTATGGTGATGTAGCGCCGAAAACTTATCCAGGCATGTTTGTTGGAGCGCTGTGCGCTCTTGCTGGTGTACTGACGATAGCATTGCCGGTGCCGGTCATCGTTAGCAACTTCTCCATGTTTTACTCACACACGCAGGTAAGCTAAAGGGAGATTATTTTTTGATATTCAAGTGGACAAAATATTTTTGTGATTTGTTAAGGTTTGAAGTTCCATCGTCTTTCCAAAAAAAACTGCATGCCTTCATTGACTGTCTCCATGTTATATATGATATTCTCTATATCTATTCCTCTGTTGGCCTGGTAAATCCTGACTTATTTCGATGCGTTAAAACTTAGCTTACCGTAAGAGACTTTAGAACCTGTAGATTTTAGATTCTTAAGTTACGGCCTTGCTGAAATTGAGAGCGGTGAGAGAACAGACTTGCCAGAATACAAAAACAAAATATTTTNACTTATTTCGATGCGTTAAAACTTAGCTTACCGTAAGAGACTTTAGAACCTGTAGATTTTAACTAGATTCTTAAGTTACGGCCTTGCTGAAATTGACAGCGGTGAGAGAACAGACTTGCCAGAATACAAAAACAAAATATTTCCCCTCTGGCTTAAGTTGATGTATTGAGTAATCACTGATGACTTCTTACGGTAAGTTTAGTTAAGCTAAGTCTAGACTAACTGAGCTTTAAACCAAGACGAATTCAGAAATAGTACCAACAGAAAACATTCGGTACTAGTTCGGGACTTTTTATGGATCATTTCGGGACTACTTCAGGACTCCTTTAAGAGTTTTTTCGGGACCATTTCGGGGTTAGTTCGATATCATTTTCGGACTAGTTTAGGACCTTTTCGGGTCTAAATCGGGACAATGTCGGTACTAGTTTGGGGCGACACAGATGTATATACACCAAAGTTTATTAGTACCTGTTACTGACGCTTTTTTTTTTTGCTATTTAACCATTTTTGACTTCCAGCCCTCTGGCTATACGTACCAATCAGTCTGCATTAATGTTGNGCGACACAGATGTATATACATCAAAGTTTATTAGTACCTGTTACTGACGCTTTTTTTTTTGCTATTTAACCATTTTTGACTTCCAGCCCTCTGGCTATACGTACCAATCAGTCTGCATTAATGTTCTGGCCTGTGCTGGGCTCCAGCCTCCCTACTAGATGTCGTTCATTTTGCAGGATAAGAGGAAAAGTTTGCTTCTATGCTCTGTACTTTGTCAAGGCACCATCCTTTTTGTTGTCTTTAACACCCGTAGTGTACGGAGCCCTTTGGAGGCGTAAATTTTAGGTCGTCATTATGCCCGCATAACTGAACCGCAGTGCTACGGAAAGTGATATTAGAAAGCAGCCAATCAAGCCACTCTGCGTGTCACTATAAATATTTTCCGCCTATAATTTATAGGTCCCCCAAAAACCCCGAAAAATGCAATGGGTTGACCGATAAAAAATCGTTAGTATTAAAAATTTTTTTAAATAAACATATGGCGATTATTATTGAAAGTCTCATGAAGAGAACCAGAGTTTTCTGATTGAAAAATATCGATATTCAAGAATTACATATATACGATATCTAGGAAATGTTGTTTTTTCCCCCATATAAAAATAAAATATAGGTGTATACTTTTTTTGATATAGAACAATCTTAGGGGGTGTAGCATATTTTCCTTGACCTAACCGTACATGTCGGCCGCTGTGGTGTAGTGGTAAGCAGTGCGCGCTTCCACACCGCAAGGCCTGGCTTCAAGACCCGGTCAAAGCAACATCCCAAAAAATATAGAAAAAGGTTTTTTCTTAACAGCGGTCGTCCCTCGGCAGGCAATGGCAAACCTTCGAGTGTATTTCTGCCATGAAAAACAGCTTCTCATAAAAATACAATCGCCGTTCGGAGTCGGCGTAAAACTGTAGGTCCCTCCGCTTTGTGTGACAGCATCAAGGCGCACGCCACAAATCGGAGGAGAAGCTCGGCCAAACACTAACATACTATGTGTAAGCGCCAATCTATTATTATTATTATTATTAACCTTACATGTGCCTAAATCATTCTGATATTTCATTAAATCGAGACGAATAATTATTGTGAAACTGTTTCCAAACTGCCAAAGTTGGACCAAAGTGCGGGTTATTCCAAAATCGGTTTTCTGGGATCCGCACCTGACGGTAATTGTTGCAGTTCCTCGCCAGTTTGCCCTGAAGAAGCCGCGTGCCAGTATTACGAAGCTTAGCAAGTTGCTCGTTCTCCACTAATCGAGCGATTACCAGGGAGAACGCGACAACCCGATTGTATCCAGATTAGTCCACTTGTAGTTGCTTTGGCCCTCTTCTTAACAATATTCGGCTTGTGTCCAGTAGTTCCTTTTAATTACTTATGCTAGCAGTGCAGTATGGGTAATTTGAGCCATTTTTGTGGCAAGAATAATTACTTTTTGATTGATTGGCATATGATTTCTCACGTATTTGCAAAAAAAAATGTTACCCTTGACGACCGATATGTTTTCATTAAAAAAGTTTGAAATCAGCTTTTTTTTTTTTTTAATATCTGTATCACAGAACAAAATGTCACTTAGGTATAAAAACTACTTATACAGTGGCAATTTAAAAAAAAAAAAATGTTGCCAAATTATCCTAACTTCCATTTAAAGCCTGAAAAGCACGATTTTTCTCGAAAAAAGCAACAAGTTTTTATTGAAGTATTTAATAAACAATTTCCTTGTAGGGATATAAATAAATATAAATATATATAAATTCAAATATTTTCGTCCAAGCGACGTTAAAATTTTTGTTCTTATTTTCTAATTTACAGCTGTGCCCAGCGTTGCCGTTTCGCTTAGATTTAAGGAAAATTTATAAATTTCTTTCTGACAGTTTAAATGTTAAAAATTAAATTTCATGAACTACTATGTGCTAGTATATACACCTTTTATGATCTCGTGAGCTAAAAAAAAAAAACATAAAGAACTTTTCTTTCCGGCCGCTTGACACCTGACACATAACGAAAAATCAAGAAATCTGCCTACTCTTCAAATCGTACCCGATTTCGATTATACTTTTTTTAAAGGGTTCTTTATTAATTTTATTGTTAGAAATGCCATTTTTTTTGCATGATAGTAAAAAATGCAACAAAGTTAGCCGAAACTAAAGATTTAAAGGTCGAGGGAAAATACCGAATGTAACTCTGTAAAGTGATTGAAAGTGCTGTCACATATTTTGTTGGCATACATATGCTCTATCGCTTATGATTGTCATTGTTGTGCCATGATTTTGTTTCCATTCTTGTAAAGTTGCTTACAAAACTTACGATTGCTATACATTTTACCAAAAATTTTTAAGATTTACAGATTTGGTGTCGTCAAACTATACAAAAGTATCAAAAAAAAAAAAAAACGCATCAACAGCAAGCTCAAAAATTTTCCCGTTTTGGATAAAGAAAAGCGCTAAATTTAGTGCGAAAAGCACCAAGTTGGCAACATTGCTGAAAAGTACGAATTTCTTATTTTGCTTTTTGAAGAGTTAAAAGGCGCAACCTTTGCGGCAACAAAATTGTAAACAGCCTTTTTGTTTTTGTCCCTTTATTCTCCATTATTCTTTGTTCTCTCCTGCAAATGGTTAATAGAACACTAATGACAGTATCGATAGTACCAATTTATTTAAAAAGAAAGCAATTTTCTCAGAAATCGCAAAAAATCACAGCAATCTCATTCAGTGTTACCGTTATGCGACTAAAGTGTCAAATTTGAGATCGATGCCCCCTGACACCGACTTTTTAGAAATAGGCTTATTTTGAAACTTTTCTTAAAAATCATGCAACTTTTGCCCCTTTTCTTTGACTAAAAATTAAATATAAACATTTTGACAATTTTTTCATAAAATATTACTTGTCAAAGGCACTAAAAATCACATCTCTGGCAAGATTTTGACTGATTTCAAGCTTTTTATTATGCAAGAATTTGTAGCTTAGCATTACGCCAAGTTATTTGTGTTAAATTCATTTTCGTGGCAAATAATCGGCGATAATTTATATAGTAGCTAAAGGCTAACCTTGTTGTAATAATTGTTATCTACTAATGTTGATTTTTTGTTATTTTGATGTAATTACTTTTTTAACTGCAATTTTGTTTTCATAATAAATGCAAAATATGCATTGGCGTATTTTTAATATACTAGTATCGCCCAGTTGTCGAAATTCGACATCTTTTTACCTCCCATTTATTAGCGAATTTGTATGTATTAGATGAGATGTTCATCACTGACTAATATGTCATATGAACATATACCAATACAGACCGCAAATAAGTTTTTCGATTATATTTGTCTGCAGCCTCTTGGAGCGTTAACAACTAAATTGCCCACATCTACATAAACTCTTTCTTTTTTCATCAGAATCGTTAACGGTTGAGAAGTATCTTGAAGGCTTACAACAAAAGATAATACTTCCTTCGCTAACGGCGATTTCACACGGGTTTTTGTCAAGACTGGGCCAAAGCCCAATATTTTTTTTTTATCACCACGACTGGGCTAACAAGTTACACCAAATTTTATGTTACTAATATGTGTTCTAAAAGTGAAACAAATCTGATCATAAATATGATTTTTTAGATAGCTCTTAATCCCTGCGGCACCTATGGGAAGGCAAACACACTGATCTTCTAAAAACTGTTGCACAAAACAACAATCATTCAATGCGATTCTAAAATCTGGGAGAAAATCGTTCCCAATTGAATTATTCTTGCGATTTTATATGTGTATAAATGTACGTGTATAAAATTCCATTACCTTATCATAAGCGGTTCCAGAGATAAGCCATATGAGAGTTTCAGTTTGTATGCGCGGTACGACTCCAATCTACCACGCCTAAGTACGGTATTGACAACATATGTTACTGTGTCAAATTTCGGGACGTTAAGCTTAAGCGTTTACAGAGATAAGCCATTTGAGAATTTCAATTTGTATGGGCGGTGCCACAGCCCACTTTCCCAGCGCCTACCATTTTTCCCCGTAAGTAGGGTATTTACAATCTATGCATCTGTGCTAAGTTTCAATTTCCCAGCATAATTGGTTTTAGTGATATAAGTGGTTTTCACATTTTAGTCTATATGTCAGAGCCACGCCCCCTATGT